ATACACACACACATATATATGTACACACACATATATATATGCACTCACAAAATAAAAAGAGCCTTTAGCCAAATCCTGCATGCACTGGAACATTCAGTATAAACTAATCCTCCAGCAGAGATTTGAGGCCCGATTCTGCACCACAGAAATTGATGAGGATTTTGCAATCAATGTTGTTGAGCACAGATTCAAAATCTCAGAGCGCTGTTTGCAAACAGTGTGAAAAGATTAACACCGGGTATTTCTTGGTGAAATAACAACAATAATAAAGGAAAACTAAGGAAAATAAAAGGAATACCAGCAATAAAATCTACAAACCTTGCAGGGAGCGGAGGGTCAGCTTTTCCAGCCACCAGCCACGAAGACCTGTGGTAGGCATATCTATATCTTTTATTGTCCACAGGAACTATATCCATTAACACAATGTACTTGGCTTCAGGATCCACTCCCGAGAAGGAAACCCTGATCGTAGGGAACATTCTCCTGAAATAAAGGTAAATCAGAAAATAAATAGGTGATGGAGAAGAGAAATAAAAGAGCTTCTGAAAAAAAGGGTTGTATTTAAACCACATGGGGGGAAAAATTTAAGTATATATTAATTTCTACTACGCTGAAGCACAATCAAATCCTGTGTGTCTCTAGTACGGACTGGGAGTGGAGGGGAAACAGCTTGAAATCAGAACGATTTTTTGGAAGCAAAAAAATAGCAAAAATTAAAGTGGGAAAAAAATGTACTTTTTGCTTGTTACTTAAAAGTCCATAACGATTTCAGAAAATACTTGTACCGAAGGTACAGAAGTCCTTAGAAAGGTGATTTTTTAATGGGATCCACACTACTATTAGGGAAATAGCGCAGAAATTACCGTTCAGCGTCTCCCGTATTTGAGATGCGTGTTTACGATTGTTTCCGAGAGGAATTGTCAACCCCTAAAAACTTCCTTTACTTCCACTTCGGCAAAACGCGATTTTAAACTGCGAGGTTGTGCCGCAGACGCGAAAAAGTCAGATTACTTTTAAAGCAGTTTAAAATTTCCAACTTCAAATTGCAGATTTTATCTGTGCTTTTTAAATATTTAACACACATGCTGGTAAAACAAAACGAAACAAAACAACCGTCGGGGAACTGCATTAATATCGAGTAACTCTGCGGGTTACAAAACCCGACAAGCCACTCGGCTCCTCCGGACTGCGTTGGACTCATCCAAACCCTAAAACCTTTGCAGAAGAAACGGACAAGGAAGCCCGAGATTCTCATACAACCGAGAGAAAAGAAAACCAAAGCAAACCAAGCCCTGATCGAGTTCATTCCCCACCACCCCGCGTTTCCCCGTGTCTGTACCAACCCTTAGCCCATGCGTGCTGCCCTTCCAAAATAAGAACTATGCGGGTTTGGTTAGTTTCCCCGTCGTTTCCTTCTGCCCAAAGGCGCTGTACGGAGACTGCCCGCAGGGATGTCGGGGCTGCCCAGCCTTACCTCCCGGACTTGGTGATGATCATCTCGGTACCCAGTTCATGAAACTTGTCCCAGAGCTCTTTGGTCTCCAGGCTGCAGGAGATTTTGGCCATCTCCTCGCTGGGGATGATGGGGGTGGTGGGGATGAGGGGCTCGGTGCACAGGGATGAAGGGCTGGTGCTAAAATCCCCGTGAGGGTCCAGGCTGGATAAGTCACTCAAAGGCTGGGCGCAAGAGGATTTCTCAACGAATTGTTCTGCAGGGTTTCAGGGCGGGGGGGGAAGAGAAGAAGAGAGACACGATTCAGCCAGGATAGGGGGGAGAGCTGAGAGAAACTATGTAAAAATACAATTAAATCAAAAGGCGTTTCTGGTTCAGTTGCCCCTCTGACCCCGCACAGCCGCGCTGTAAGGCGCCTGCTCATCATTTGAGGGTAGAAGAGGTGATTTTCGGATAGGATCTCTGGGAAGAGCCAGGGTAGTCGCTCAGCCACCGCCACATCCCGCCCGTCTGCTGCCGGCTCCGCGGGCGCGGAGGGGCAGGACGGGATGCCCCCGTTGCCAGTCGAGTGTTTCCATGGAAAAGTCACTAATTCTCATTCAAACTGGAGCGCTCGGCTCCGAGGGTCTCGCCGGCGGCTGCTCCTCAGTTGCGCCGCTGGCAGAGAGCGTAACTCGGAAGGAACCTTAGCGCGGCCGCGCTTCCTCCGCGGGGAAACGAGCTCCTAACTCTAACTCACCCGCCCGGAAAGCCGGCTCTGCCCTTGCCTCCCAGCCGGATTCCTGAGGCTCGACACACTCCTCTGGGGAAACAGGCTCCCGGGCGGGGGGGTGCTTTCGCTGCGCGGGTGCGGAAGCTACCGCCGGCTCTAGCTCCCTCCGGAGCTTCTTCCCTCCCTTCCCCAAGCTCTGAGAGGCTTTGAGGGCTCCGCGGGGAAGAAGAGAAGGGCGCGGGGCTCTGCCCGTCACCGGGATGCGGCCGCGGATCTGCTGCCCGGCCCCTCCGCCGAGGGATTTCGGCCAAATCTCCGGTTAATAGGAGGCGAGTTACGGGCAGTCGTTTCCCTTCGATTCCCAATTCAATGGCGGGGGGGGACGAGTTAAAAACATGATTGGAAAGTTAGTTGAACGAGCGATTTCACAACAAAAAGGAAGATAAATGAAGAAGAGCAGCTACGTTTAACACAATACCGTGCTAATGTATCAAACGGGAAATACTACAACATTCCCGGCCTACGTTATCGCCTAGGCTAAAAAGTAAAGTTCACAATGAACCCCTGGACTATATGAAGCTGTCGAGTCCGTTGATGAGGTGGACCAGGCGCCGAGAGCGCTGCCTTCTCCGAATTCCTATAACATCGAGTGTTATCTTCTTCATTGGCGCCCTGGAAGCTTAACACTTTTTTTCTTGTAGTAGTATTTTCCTGCGAACTCCGGGATAGATGCATGGACCGCAGGAATTTGGGGGGAGGAGGAGGAGAAGCTAATAATGAGGGGTTTCGAAAGCCTTCGAGAATCTGAATCAAAGCGAGCGAGTAAAAGCGAAATCGCTTACCCGAAAATCGTCAGGAATTACTAGAAAAATCCTCCCGGTCGCTGCAGAGTAAAACAGCCTGTATGAGCCTACTGCGAGTGCCTGTGGAACGAGGGGATTTTCGGGTCTACGTACAAGTTTTACTACCCCTTATAAGCCTGGGCACGATAGCGGAGATTCTCTTAGATGGCTTCGAAACCGTGGTTTGTTTGCTATAACTATTAAGAGTTCTACGAATGGCGAAGCTGGGTAACTGACAGACGTGATTTAAGCTGGAGGAATTTCGGAGCCGGTTTACGCTATACGAGCCGGTTTATGCTATAAACCCGTTTTCCTCTAGGGGAGCCGGTTTATGCTATAAACAGCCTCGCCTGGGAAGGGCGGTGAGTACACGAAGAGGCTCCTCTGGGTTTCGCGGCGGAGCTTTGGCTTCTGCAAGGGGAAACCCGCGGGCAAGGGAGAAACCGGCTGCGGGGCTTTAAGGGGGGTGGGCAGACGGACGTAGGGAGGGGAGCTCCGCGCCCCACGGACACCAGTGGCCACCCCGGTCCCCACTCACCCAGCGGCTTGATGGTGCTCTCGGGGGACTCCTTGTCCTTGGAGCTGCCGCTCGACATGAGGGCGGCGATGGAGAAGGCGTTGGCCCGGGAGGAGAGCTGCGGCTT